TTTAAATATTTACTATCAACCAATCTGTATAGTCTTGTTATCCACATAAGTATCTAATCACTTTCTGTATGTTGCTCAACTCCAGGCCACAATATTCTGGCAATGAATTCCACAAACTAGTATAGATTGTGTGAAAAAGTATTGTTCATGATTAGTTTTGAATTTGCCACCTTTCAATTTCATTGGAAGTCCTCTTGTTCCTACATCATAATGAGATATGAATAAATCTACTCAATCTATCTACTCTATACCATTTATTGTTTTGGCATCTTCACCATGTCCATTCTTACTCACTTCTTCTATAACGTAACACATAATATAATCCTAATCTTTTCGATCTCTCTGTATAGGAAAGATTTCCCCTTGCCTCTAACCATTCTTGTCACCAGTCTCCAAACCCTCGCTATTTATATATACTTTTTGAGATACCGTGAACAAAACTAAAAACAATATTCCAGGTCACTGTGTTCACCTCTGATTTATTGAAGGCCATTGTAATATTTTTCACATTATTCATTATGCATTTTAACATTTTGTTTGCTTCTTAGACTTCTGCTGTACATTGAGCAGAGATCTTCAGTGAGTTATCAGCAATGACCACCAGCCTTTTCCCCAAGTTGATAAAATTAATATAGAATTCTGTAAGGTGCATGAGTAGTTCAGACTACTCCCTCCAATATGAATAACTTTGTACTTATCAACATTGAATTTCATCTGCCATAATGTTGCCCATTCTCTGAGCTTGTGTAGGTCCCTCTGATTTTTCTCTGTCTTTTCTTGTCTTGACTAACCTGAAATTTTTATTCTTACTATCACCCCCTTTCTCAGATCATTACTATATTAAACACCACCCATTTTAGTACAGCAGTTTTTCCCAACCTTTTCCAGTCTAAGGCACAATTACCTCAGTAAAAGATTTGTGCGGCGCACTCCTGCCCTGCATTACAATTATTATAACAAAACATACTTTTAATGAGAAATTTGAGCTTGCCTTGATATGCAGAGTCCTTCCTGGCAGGAAATATTGAGAGTGCAACTCAGAGCTCTTACTCCACCAATCTCAGATGCTCTCTTTGTTTGGTTTTGATGTAAGTCAGGCTTGAAGAAACATAACTTGCACAGGTATGTTGTTGAAAATGGCAACAAAATGGAAATAGCATGGTCTGAGATTACTGCATATTCGTTTGCCACTGTCAACCAGAATAAGTCCAAAGGCATGTCACCAAATTTAATTTTAAAAGGGGGTCCCATCCTTTAATTCATCAAGTTGCTCTTGAGTCATTATTGTAAGATTCTTAGCACTTTCCATTGCAGAGGAAAGCCAAGGATCCCAGAACCAGTCAAAATCTTCTATATAGGTTGACAGAAAATATAAGCTCAATTTTTCTTCCAGACTATTTAAATGCTCAGAAATGACATTTACCAAAATACTAACAGTAGGATCTGCCACGTTTTCCAGAGGGAACATTTCTATTGAGTCTTGCTAGTTTTTTCACGTCAGAGGGCTAACTTAGATCTAAACCCATGCAGTTTATCCATGAAGGAGACACGATTCTCATTTCTACCTTGCATTTTCCTGCTCAGTTCATTGAGGTGGTGAAATATATCAGCCAGGTAAGTATGTTTTACACACCATGCCACACCAACAATTAAGTCTGTGTATGCTGATTCCTCCAAAGCTAAGAAATTTTTAACTCTTCTCTCAGTTCATAAAAACATAAGAGAACTTTTCCATGGAAAAGCCAGTGTATTTCTGTGTGTAAAAGTAAACTCTGGTGTTCTGATCTCATTTCTTCACACAACAGTGAGAAAAGGCAACATTTTAAGAACCATGATTTTATTAAGTTGACTATCTTTACTGCTCCATCTAACACTAAGGAAAGTTCTTCTGGCAGTGTTTTGGCCATAAGAGCTTCACGGTGCAGGAAAAAGTGGGTCACCAGCACATCTGGGTTTTGTTCTTTAGCCTTGTTTACAAACCCCTTCACTTTGCCAGTCATGGGGGCAGTCCTGTCTGTGCAAACACTAAGACAATTTTTCCATTGCAATTCTCCCTCCTCAAGGTTCCTCTCCAGGCATGTGACCTGGCAGGTGTCTGAAAAATAAAAAAAATTCTTTTATACTATTTCCATCAACGTGCCTGATGTTAGATAAGAGTTGAGCATGACAACTGATATCTACTGATTCATCAAGCTACAGCGCAAATTTTCCACTTGATCTAATTTTTTTCCTCAGAGTACAGTTTCAACATCAGCTGATCTCACCAATGCGGTGACTTATATTATCGGAAAGGGGAACTTTTGCAATTTCATTGACTGCATTTGCACCTAACATTACTCTCACCATTTCTTGGCATGCTAATGTTTCTGCGACTGTATGCGGCTTTTTCGCCTTCGCTACATGCTCAGCAACCAAGCAGCTTGCTTCCAATGGTTTATCAGAAACTGTGACACAGCCTTTCACCATTTGCACTTGTTTTTCATTTTGATCCTTCAAATGCTCAAAAAAAAAATGGCCCTTGTTGGCAAAGGATAGATGTTTGCTTGTAAGGTGTCATTTTAACTTACTTGGCAAACTTGCATGACTTTTGCTCCACACATAATACTGATGAAGAGAGCAAGATGGTTCACCTGTAAACAAAAATCCAAATTGCAAATGCTCTCACAATAGTGCTGGCTCACAACTTTGACTTTATGTTCATGTTCAGCTTCATCACTGAAAACAGATGTGGAGGTGCCAGACTCTCTTTTCTTCAAATATTTCTCCATTTTCGAGTCTTCAATTTAAAATTCACCACTGTAACTTAACCGTTGATAAGAAAACATGGCTACCACATGATACCACGCGAACAGCAAGGTCATTTGATCACACTGTGTGTAAAGCTTGTCTCACACACGAACACCCGAAGAGTACCAGCACAAAATGCCGTTGGTTATGACACTAATTAAAATAAATGAGAATTTTTTTCTCCTCACAAGTGACTTTTCCAAAATTCCATGGCACACCTGTTCATACCTGATGGCACACCGGCTGGGAAACACCATAGTACTGAACCTTCTGGCACCCTGCTCTTACCGTTCTGTGATCATTAAATTTGCCCATTTCTTTCTAGTCTTTGTCTCTCTTGGACAGTTTCTGATGTATGACAATATTTTATTCTCATACCCTTGTGAGGGACTTTGACAAAGGCCTTTTTGAAAGTCTAAGGGTAAATTTTTTATCAAAGGACTTAAATGACGTTTCACCCAAAATAAACTCTCAATGAGTTTTTATTTAGCCACTCTTTTATTGATACATATAATATTTGTAATAGATCAGCAAGGCACCATCATCCTCTTCAGAAACCTTGCTGGTTCAACCCTATTTGTATCATGATCTGTTAGGTGTTCTATTATTCTATTTTTCATTACTGCTTCAATCAATTTACCCAGTACAGAAGTAAGGGTTACAGGCTTGAAATTCCAGATCACCAATAAGTCTTCTTTAACTACAGGCAATATTTGCTACCCTTTATCCCTCTGGTTTAATAGCTGATTTTAAAAGAGAGACTCCATATTTTTGCAAGCAACTCATCACTTAATTCTTTCAGAACTTTTGGGTATGCACCATCGGGGCCTGATTGGTAAACGCAACTTTTTTTTCTTTTGACATCTCAGTCCCTGACAGTACTTAATCTTTTTTTTTAAATCAGAAAAGAGTTGGTCCACACTAGATTTCTCCCCAAAATCCTATGTCATGAAGCCTGATGCAAAGAAATCATTTAGCTTTTCAGCAATGTCTTTATCTTCTTTAATTGCTTCCTTTATAGCAACCTTTTCTGTTTGCCTCCTCTGGTGGTCCAATAGACCCACCAATTCTTGTAAGATTCCTGCTACTAATATACTTCAGAGAATTCTTGTGTGTTATACCTTTAATCGTGTTCTTTAAATTCCATCGTAGGATTCCTAATTTTCTTTTTTAAATATTGTGAAAATGTCTGACCACACTGCAGACACCTTATTCCATGTAGTTAAGCTGGAACATGTGCAGCGTCTCTCAACAAGCAGCCTTTCTGCTATTTGAACAGCCTCCTTAACCCTGGTTTCCCTTTCTCTTTTATTCACAGCTCACAATAAAGTCAGCGATTTAAAGATACTCCCTGCTTCCTCACATCCTCACTCCCAAATATACAAAGACAGTACACAGATATGATGTACTATCTTTGCATGTTTGACAGTGAGGACGTGAGGAACATTTCCAAAGTGGATATGTTCATTCATATGATTATATCATATTCACAGAAATAAGAGTTCCTTCCCAAATATTCAAGGAAGCAAAAACAGTTTGCTTGAAATTTTTTCGAAAAGCAAACAGATGAAATTCAATCGTAGTCAAATCAAGAAGTGAGTCAAAATTCCCTAAAAGTTCAAGAAAATGTATTTTCATTATTTGTCCATCTTCTCAGGTTTCTCATAGCCATACAGAATTATGACACAAGGGAGTCATTGATAAAAACATAAACAAAAACAAAACATATATGAGCAGAGTACTGACGCTGAAACACAACAAACAAGTGCTAGCTTCACAAAAGCTTTAGGTGCCTAACTGCCTCTTTAGGCACCTAAATCCAAGAATCAGGCCCCAGTGAGATTCACAAAACCCTATTTAGCTGCTGCCAAACCTTATAGGCACCTAAACTCACTTGGTGCCTAAATGTGGTAAAAGTTCCCTCGACACCCATGTTTCCGACTGTGTGCATGCAGTCTGTTGCCCTGCACCAGGTTCTGGGTGCCTAAGCCCGTCTGCAATGCACAAACCAGGGTAAGATAGGCATTCCTCTACCTAAGTCACCTTTGGGACCCAATCTGGTTAGTGTGCTCAGACTTCACATACTGGATCAGGCCATATAAGGGAACTCAACAAAAGGGGGGGGGGGGAATATGTCCCTTCCAACCCTGATATTCTACGAAATAATAATAAATAAAAATTAATAAACAACTTCAATCATGACAACCACTTACCTAAAATGAGATGAAGTTTTGTGTCTGTCTGGAAAGCATAGTGCAATGTGACCAAAAATGGTGATTGCCTAATATGTTCCAGTACTTGTCGTTCTGTCCTTGTGTGCTCTGTTGTTTTGGCTTTTTGAATTATTGTTGCTTTTTTCAATACTTTCATGGCATACAGCTTTCCATTATCATGACCACTCATTTTCCTCACTAGAAATACTTTTCCATAAGCTTAAAAAAAAAGGGAAGAAGGGAAATTGAGCTGTACAATTAATCAAAGAGAAATAGCAAGAGATTAAATTGATCATATGGTCACATATACATATGTTCTACAAAAATATGTTTTAAAAAAAAGCACACACACAGTTTTCAGTGCTGTTTCTTGCAAAGCACTTTAATAGGTTTCTTCATTTCTACATTAAAAACTGTATAAATGCAAACATGCTTTGAGCCAGATTCTACCTTCTCTTATATAATTCCTTTAAAAATCAATGGAATTATACCAGCAGAAAACAAGTATATCAGAGAGAATAGTCAAACCCTCATGGGTGGGGCTGGGTAGCACAACCTAGGAAGGTTGCCCCACACGTCGCATTATAACACTTGTTTTCATTGCCTAATAACCTTGCCAAACTTTAACCGAAATTTTCCAAGTCAGGTGCCTGTCTCAGGCTAGATATTTTTGAACATTTCAGTCAAAATGGTTCAGCTTTTTCAGAGAACAAGGCTAGGGAATAAATACATTGTTCTGCCTACAGTAAAAGATTCTGTCAACCTTTTCTTTGAACAGGTATTTTTATTTAACTACTGAAAAACATATTTGAAATGATGGTTTTGTGCAATTTTAGTTGAATTCCAATTTTCATCTAAATGGATTTTAATTTTGTTTTGCATTTGTGTTTTTTAGTTATTTTTCTAAGGAAAAGTTGTTTCTCATTGCCAACCAACATTTGAATATGTTGATTTCCAACAGAATATATCCATTACACTAAATTTGGTACTTTTTGCTAACCAAGAGGATATACAATATCTATACACATTTATTAAAGTATATAGCTCAACATATATTTATACAGATTCTTAACTTTTATTCTTTTTCATTATCTTAGAAAACTGTGAATTACATTTATTAGATGATTAAGGGTTTTTTTACTTGTGATTTGTGTCAAGCTACATCTGGATAGAAACTGGAATCATTAAAAATGCACACAAACATTTTTAAATGTTTTCATTAGTTAAATAAAACTACTTTGAATGAGCTGGATACATAAGGGGAATAAAAGTAAATTTATCAAAACATGTTTTGCATTTAAAACTGATTTATTAAACAAACGAAGTATGATCTATATTTAGTGAACTGAATTGATTGTCTCCATGTCCTTCAAGATTTTAGAGCTACTAGATCTCATCCTCTCACACTTCTTTTTTATTCATAGATTGGTAGGGGAAAAACAAACTTTCCTGTTTTTTCAACTCCCAATTGATTTCTCAACTTAAACTGAAATAAAGAAAATATTCTATTTGACTAATTCATTCAATCTGCCCCTGCACAAGAGGCTACTGCTGTTAAAAGTGGGTTTTAGCACTTCAACAAACTCAGGCTCCAGGTGCTCAGCTAGGGACTTGCACCAGGTTCAGTGGCTTAACTCTCTAAAACTTTGGTAGCAAACAAATACTATTTGAATATTATTTAATTTAAATAATTTTAATAGATTATATTAAATTTAGGACATAATTTCAATCTTAAATAGGTTTATTTTTTAAGAAAGAAAGTGCATTTAATATAAACATAAAAATCTGATGTTTTTAAATAAATTTTTTTTATCCACCTTGCTCACTGGCAAGTGGGTCTCATCCCTCTCTAGTGCTTGTCTACACAGAGGATGACAACCTGCTATTGCCTTCAGTTACTCCATTTATCTCAGGTGACAGAGGTCTGTGTCGTGAATCTAAAGGTTCCAACACAACTGATGAAGCAGGAAGGTATCAATTTGATGACACATGACAGAATTTATTTGTTCAATTTGCTTATTTAAAAACCTAGGAAATTACATACACACACAAAACCTATGTTAAAAGAACATTGTTACTATTGCAAAGTCAAGGATTCCGAACTTAGGAAATACCAGTATTAAGGTTGCATATGCATTATAATACAAACTTTAATTACAAGATCACATGCTGTTTTTTTCCACAGGACCCCTGCCTCATTTATTACTATGAGTCCTGTGAGCTCAGCACTTCTGTAAATCAAACCACAGGGTACAGGTATGCAGAAAATGAGCTATACACAGTTAGTGACCACCTCTGAAAAATTTGGTTTAGGCCACGTCCACACTACGGGGACTCTAGTGGCATAGCTACAGCACCATGGCTATGTTGGCATAACCACATATTGTAGATGCAGCCTAGAGTGACAAAAGGGATTTTTCCATCACTGTAGGAACACCACCTCATTCAGTAACGGTAGCCATGTCAATGGAAGCATTCTTCTGTCAACCTACCTGTCTCTACACCAGGGTCAACTATGACGCTCAGGGGCATGGATATTTTCACACTCCAGGGAGGGCAAGGAACCCCGGTGGGCCAGCCAGTATTTCACCTTGGGTCCATGGCACGCCAGGGTTATAAGATGGCAGCTCCTTCATGGAGCCATGAGCACAGGTGTATCACTGACAGTTTTTTGATGCCCTAACCCTTGTTTTTCCTGTGGTAAGAGACACACCCTGGCACATGCATATTTGCAGTGTACCAGATTGCAGCCCTTTTTCCTCCTCATCAGAAATTTTTGTTGAGGCTCTGGATGCAGTTTTCCCTGCATCTTTTCATTTATACACTCTCCCTTCGTTACCCCACAAAGTCATGAGACCTCCTCATCAACCTCTTCCTGGTGCTAGCCAAATATCAATCAAGGCAAAGGGGGTTAAATGGGGAAGAGGGGGTCCTTGTGACCTGTGGGGTCATTTTTGCACACTCATCCATTCATGTCTCCAGGCAGAGTACCTGTAGGCAGCATCCACTATGTCCCTGGACTCTTTCAGGGAGCAGTGGGCATTGTTCGGGCTTCTCTGCTCTGTCCCCCATTCTGGAATCTGATTTGAAACCTGTGACCCTCATTCCCATTCCTGTCTTTTTCCATTTGTTGTCACCCGAATTTAGGTGCTTCCCCTGTTTTTTTCTACCTCTTCCCATGTGAAGAGAAGGCGGCCCTTCTGGTTTAATGGATGGAGAGGAATCAATCACTAACCAGGGAAACAAATAGGCCTGTGCACTGAATGACGCAGCAGTACTGTGGAAAAAAATAGTATGTGATCAGGAAATTAAAGACTTCATCATAATGCATATACACAAAGGAGATGAATTAAAGTTGCACAGGCAACCTTAATTTTGGCATTTCCTAAAGCTTGAGTGCTTGACTTAGCAGCCCTAGCAATTTTCTTTTAACACCATTTTATGTGTAATGTATTTTACCAGTGTTTTCAATGTTACAAATGTTTTTTTCAGTATGGTCTCTCTCTCTCTGCTGCTTAAGATACTAAAGAGGCAATCGAGAAAGTATTGGTAATAAATAAAAACATATATGACCTGCTTCCCAGGCCAGAGGCATATTGACTTCTTGCCTGTTAATTTCTGAACAGTTCTCCTCAATATAGAACCCATCAATATCACCCACAGTTAAAGTGTTCCATCAAAGTCTCCTTAGACATAAGAATAACAGAGCTTTGAGAAGCAAGGTGTGAAAAAAGAATGAGATTTTCTAAAAGTCCAAAAAGAGTCAGGCTCCCAACTCTTATTGATTTTCAATGAGAGTAGGAAACGTAACTACATTAGACCCTTTTGAAAAGTGCATCCTAACTATTAAATAGAAGTTAATTTAATACTCCACATTCATTGTAAACAGACTAATAAAAAGTTACTTCAAATTGAAAGTTAAGATTGAAAACCTATAAATTTTATAGTCTACTTAACTGAAGCACGCCTTACTACAAGATATGTTAATGCATTTCCTATAAATTAATGCATGCAGTAAAAATAGGAATAGCAGCAATTATGATTATGAATGCATCTTATAAAAAAGTTAGCTGATAAGTAAATATAAATTTTAGAAATGGTTTCCAAATTGCACTTATGTCATGTTAAACAAACATCAATATAAAGATTCATTGGCGAATAAACCTGATTCTTTAGTAACCAGACAGAGGCAGACATAAGATTGAAGACACTGGGCCGAATTCTGATCTGAGTTACAGCAGTGTAAATCCAGAGTAACACCATTTAAATCAATGAAGTTATTCCTGATGTACACCAGACTGACTAAAATTAGAATCCTTTCTCTACCACCACAGGTTCCTAAAATCCATTGGAACTACTACCTTGAATCAGGGCTGTAGACCTATAATTCCTTCCCTAACAAAGATGAAGCTCACCATCAGAGTCTCACCATTTGATAATCTCGGATTTCAATCCAATTTATTTTAATTGTACAGAAATATATTTTAGTCATATTTTCTGAAGTTCAATTTCATGATCAAGATCCAAACTCTGTCCTTAGAGTCTATGGTGTAGATCTCAATACGGCTCTTAATGAAATTATTTCTGAGGCAGAAACATTTGGCTGGGGATCCACCAAAATAAGAGAAGCACAAACACACAGATTATCATGAAATATCTGCACCTACTGTCCAACCTAAACTGCCCTTGCTGCAATTTAAGCTGATTATCCTCTGAGGTTAGGACAAGAAGCAAAGAGAACAATTTTTTCTCCCCCCTCCTTGTAACAACCTTTTATGTACTTGAAAACTGTTATGTCCCCTCTCAGTCTTCTCTTCTCCAGGCTAAACCAACCTATTTTTTTCAGTCTTCCCTCAAGATCACCATCCTTTTCTATAGTTTCAGAGTTATCTGCCAATGATAGTGTTTCGGTCACATCATGTATGTCACTTAGCCACAGTATATCACCTGTAGCAAAAAGAAAAAAATATCTCCATCATCCAGAAATAACCATAGATAAGTTTGTGATAAGAACCAACAGATTACAAAAAGATAATTGATGAAAAAATGGCCCGGTTTGTTTATGCAACGAACTCTCCTTTCCGTATGATTGAGAACCCACACTTCATTAACATGGCTCAGTCATTAAGACCAGGATACAGTCCACCCAACAGAGCACATATCGCAGGCAAATTGCTGGATAAAGTGTATGAAAGAGAAATTGAGCAGTGTGCAAAAGG